ACGTCCTGATACTTGACATCTCTTCTCTGATACTATCGTTCCTCTTTCGGGAGAAATTTTATTGGCCGAGATTATTTCTATTTTATTTTTACTTTGCGTCGGATATATTGACTGGGCCGCAAAAATGCTCATCTCGGGCCGCGAGTTTGACACCCCTGATGTAAACTGTATATCAAAGATACCGCGATATACCATCGCCGGTGTCGTTAGAACACGCCGCGCTCTGACTGTTAGCGATCCCAGTACCGCGTATACAATGTAAGACGCGATGAATGACCGTCTATGATTGCTGGAGAAGACGACACCAAAAAGGGTATACAAGCAGGCGATTTTCAGTTGCCGGTCTCTTAGTTGATTTTGGTCGCTCAGTCACTTCGTACATATACCTTCTCTCAAATAAAAAATAAAATAAAGCTTTTTAAGAAAAAGAATTAATATCATATTCATTTGAGAAATAATCTAAGCCATAATCCCAATACTTGCAGTCGATGCGAGCAATTTGTATTCTGAACAAGGATAGACGATCTAGCGATCGATAACTTCAATCATTTGCTAGGAGAAATGAAAATTTTGCTTGGAGAATCTGAACTGGTCATCGACAGAGAACTTACGGCGTGAAATGATTGCAGAATACTCGGAGGAGATATACCCGTATGCGACGTTCCAGCTGGAAGAAAGTGTCCCGCCAGGAGGCGACAGTCGATGTAATTCCGCCGCGCCACTTCAGACCTTCGTCTATCACGATCCTCGTCTCTCCACCGCCGACACTCTTCAATTACGAGAGGTATCGTCCACCGTTCAGTTTGCTTTTGTCATTCACGATCGCTTTTCCACCATTCACCTACCGTATCTATTCACCCGAGCATCGAGCCACTGGGAAAACACACTTGCGCGCACCGCATGCCCTTACCATCCGTCCAGGCACGCAGACTGTCTCGAACTCTTAAGTGTTTAACCGACCGAGATAAAAGTTCGTACAGTAATCAGTTCATGAAAAAATTAACGACTCGCGTTTCGACGTACGCGATCGTATCGCGTTGCCGTTTCGATTATAATATTTCGTTGACAGGGATTCAACCGGTTTTCTATAAGATTCGCATTGGTTCTCCTGTGCCGCGGTCATTTAATTTCTGAAAGCCGAGAAGTGCCAGTTTTATTGAAACGAATGGCAAAAATTTGTCTTCTCTTGCAACAGAAGTACGCATTACGTCCGATCCGTGTTGCAGTAAATGTGTCAAGAAAGGGAGATGTACGGTCTTGGCAGAAGTAACGCATTGTACAAGGTGTTCCACTTCTTCCTTCACGTACCTCATGAATAGAAATCTGAAAGATTTCATGTCCATTTAGTAACGTTTTCGAAACGATTATGTTCTGCAACATGTCATCATACGTATTCGCGTAAATTTCTGAACGCAATGAAATATGCTGCACGCAATGCAATGGAGAACGTCTGTTGCCGGCTCACAGGCGCGTTCGAATAAGATTCCATCCATCTTTGAAATCCGTTTATAATAGCATCTTTATCGAGAGTAGATTCGAATAAATTACTATAACACTGTATCATCTCAAATAAATATCGTCTAGAAACATTCTTCGCACTCGAGAGTCCTGATGTATTGCAAATCTGGTCAATAGAATAAAAAACCTGCATCGATACAATTTCGCGGCACATTATATTTAAATAAAGTAACCATTTTTCCAACACATTATCAACCATTCGCGCTCGGAGGATTTTCTCTGATCAGTTACCAAAAACTCTCGAATGCATTTATTGGACAAGTAGCGAGTAACGTTGGAAATCATTACTCTGTTTAAATCTAATATAATAGTTCAAAGTGTGCCGTAATTATCAGCAGTCTTGTTAATCCCCTTATCGAGGACATCCGAGTGCAAAGATTTCATTCGAAACGTTACTTACTGCTTCGCGAATAACGGAAACGGGAAAAAGGATAAAGTGCGAAACGGATACAGTTTACACTACGACTTGTGCAAAAAAAAGCAACGTCGCAGAGATTACAAAATTTCCACGAAGTTCTTCCCATAAACCAGGTAATTTGTAATGCTATATCCGGCGAAATATCCTGTACACCATCGAGTTATTGTGCAACGCTAAAAAAGAAGAACACGTACGATCTTTTATCTCTTCTGAATGGAGACGTCCCTCTTAAAGCTTCGCTTCCCTCTCCGTTCCGCCACCGGCATTGTGTGTGTTTCCCGACCGACCGAGAAATAGAACCAATAATAAAGAGCCTGCGATACGTAACGATAAAGGAAGGGTGTACAAATTCGCATCAGCATGTTGCATCAGTTTCTGCTCCAACTCGCGTCGCCGCACAATCCCGATCGCAGTTTCGCGTGCACATCCGCGCACATCCGGTTCCGGGGACTCTCTGGCAAATTCTTTAGCGAACAAAACGTTGTTTGTATCACCTTTTTTTTCGCGAAGCAATCGAGAATCTCGGAAGACACGCGGAACGTTTACGGAACATTAGCAAGGTTGTCAGTAGAGAGGCGCGTGCGTGTCCGGATCGAGTAGAACAGATGTGCATCATTATAGAGAATTCGATCATTGTGACTGCTGGTCCCACCTTGCTTCGTTTCGCATCTGTCCTGATCAGTCCATCGAGGAACCGCAACACCGATACAAAAAAATATTAATCACATATGTATATTTCGTCATTCTTACACATCTCTCGCCAATTCTTATCATAGCTCGTCTAGCCGTAGCATAAGGAACAACTGTCAACCGATTTACCCGTATGCGACATCATGTTTTTCGTTGTTCGATTGCGTTTAGAGAAGTAGTGTGGATCGTTGCTAGATCAGTGCCATACTATCCTGTACGAGTCTCCGTTGATCCGTGCGCCCTTTGGGTCAAAAGTTCTTGAAGTAGATAGTACGCACTAAAAAGTGGCGAGGTTTAAACCAGTGCTCTGTTCTTGAACAGTTTCCTTTACGCTGCAAAAGCATAGACGAACAAACTTTCATTCGAACAACAGATGGTTAAACAATAGGAACGTATACATCAAATTTGTCATGGTGCGATATGAAATAGTTTTAAGTTCATCAACGTTCTACGTTTTATAACAAAGAATTATTACTCGACGAAAATATTTAGAAACTTAAATCACTTGCACCAGTTAAAGTTAACTAAATTATCAAACATTGACGATAAATAAATCGAACATTGACGCGTTTCACGGCTGACTATATTAGGTCCACCGGAAAGTTCTGTCCGTTTTTGAATTGAAATATAACACGATTTTCATACATTTAATAATATTTATTGTAGAATATACTTTCCATCGTTACTTATGACTTCTTGCCAGCGTGATGGCAACTTGTAAATGCCATTTTTAAAAAATGATTTATTTTTAGAGGCGAAGAACTCAACTAG